CCAAACATAAACAAAACACCCACCTCGTCGCCACAGATCACCCCAAACCCAACCCCAGACCACACCTCAAACCCGCTGACCCCTCGCCTCCCCCTCCCGCACCTCGCCAAGCAAGCCCACCAACTCCCTGCCCCCCTCACTCTCCCTCCCCTCAATCTCGAGCCCCCTTTCCACAAACCGCCTTGCCTCCTCCCACCGTCCCATCTCCACCAAGCACTTGCCCCCGCGCCACCACGCCTTCACATTGCCCACCGCCTTGCTCTCGACGCTGCACCGCGCATCCACCAGCCCCTCGACCCACAGCCGCTGGCTCATCCACGCCTGCGCCCGGTTCGCGTACAGCCCCGCCAGCTCGTCGCGCGCCAGCGTCACGGGCTCCCACCCGGGCCGGCCCAGCGCCATGTCGATCGCGTACCCGTACAGCCGGGCGGCGTCGGCGAAGTGGTTCTTGCGGTAGGCGGCGTTGGCGCTGTCGCGGAGTTTGGTGATCTGGGCGCTGCGCTTGGGGTTGATGGGGAGCGGGGGCGGGGGGATCTGGTTGGGGGTTTCGAGGAGGGCGCGGTGGAGGGTGTTGAGGGCGGTGAGTTCGGATTGGAGGGTGGATGTTGATGTGGTGGGGTGGGTGTGCGTGAGGGTGATGGCTTTGGAGGTTGGGTCCAGGTGGAGCGGGAGGGGATTGTAGATGTCTATGCTGGACATTTTTGGTGGTTGTGGTTGTTGTTGTTGTTTAGTGGTTTGGTGGTGGTTTATCTTGGTAGTGGTGTTTATGAGGTGGGTGTTGTTCGCGTGGAGTCGGTTGATTGGGTGGATTTGTGTGTCTGTTTGGGGCTTTTCGTATTTCGTTCGACTCGTTGATGGACTTGGATTCGTACAGTAGTCAGTGTAGCTGTGTATGCTGTAGCTGTAGCGTAGCTGATAAATGGTCTGTGCGGAGAGGTTAGTGTTTGAGGTTTCAGGTAGAAATCCGACTCGAACTCACGAGGCAGATTGCCAGAGACCCCCGGGATGAGAAAGCAAGACGAAAAAGTGCGCACCGGCTGGACGTCCAGATTTCAACTCAGATAAAGCAAAAGATGAGCTGTCCTGATCGCTGATGGTGAGTGAGCCTTCCAAGCAAAGGCGGTGGCAGAATCCCTCCCTGCCTTCGGCGAATCCTGCCCGATCAGATGTGTCATCCTATTCACTAACTACTACAAGTCCAAGCGACCAGTTCACTACCAATTCGACAGGCTTGCTCTGCTAAAGTATGTAATTCCATCTATGTAGAACCAAAATACATTCGTCATCCAATAAGTCGTCAGGTATGCCTGCGCGGCCATTACACAGGCCGTTCCCCAGCCAAATCACCATCACAGCATACAGTCATCATGTTACAAGTCAGCAAGCCAGAAATGACAATCGGAAATGTGCGCCCGCAAACACCGCCCCATGGTTCGTTTCGAAGGTTTGTCTTGGGTTTTTCTTTTCACCGCATCTCCTCTCCGTCAACCCCTCTAGTGGCCGTAGCCGCTCTGACTCGGCTCGTACTCCGACGGTCCGCCGTAGTGCTGCCCGTGCGCCCCGCCGTAGCTGGTGTTGTAGTCGTGCAGCACGCTGCCCGTCGAGACGGTCGGGTCGTAGGCGCCCGACGCCGCCGAGCGACCGTGCGTGGTGCTGCCGAAGTCATCCGCCTCGCTCTGATGCAGCAGGGCGTAGTCCTCATCGCGATCGCCGCGGACCGACGACCCCATCCCCGCGCGCGACCGGAAGTCGTCTTCCTCCTCCTCGAAATCGTGCGCCGGATTGGATGAGAACGCGGCCTTGGTGTGGGCGGCGAAGGTCGGGTCGGAGACGGCGTCGGGCAGGGTGCCGGTGCGGCGGAAGTGCACGACGTTGCGGAAGGACATGAACGCGGTGACCACGAAGAGTAAGCTGGTAGGCAAATCACATGTTAGCAAACCACCCGAGAAAGCCACAGATGACAACCCACAAGACGATAACACCCAAGATCACGGTGGCCGTGCTGATCTTGCACTTGCTGGCGTTGCCGTAGGCCCAGTTGTCGCAGCCGCTCTTCTTGCTGTCGCTCGCCCGCTTGCTGCTGGACTTGCTGTCGCTGTCCGTCGAGCTGTCGCTCTTGCCCTCGCTCTTCCCCTGCGCCACGTAGCTGGCGACACAGACCCAGGCACTGAACCATAAGATGGCGTACAGGCAGTCCACGGTCGCGAAGGCGTACACATTTCCAAACCGGCGTGCGCGCGGCCACATGGGGACGGCCACTAAGTAGATGAGACCGGGGATACTGAACCAGCACTATCGACAAAAACCATTAGACTCGAGTCCTCGGCGACATTCGTCCCCCTAAAACAGATGGATGGGCACTCACCAAGGCCCAGTACCAGGCGGATCTCCCATCAATGCCACCGCCCTTGGTGAACACGGCGATGGTCAAGGCCCACGCCAGGAAGATGATAAATCCCTGGAACCCATGGATGATGTTTTTCGTCCGCCCCGGGTTGAAGGAAGGTCGGGCGACTCGCATGTTTCTGAGGAGTGAGGTGGTCGATGACGGAGGAGTGGTGGTGCCTGATGACGATGACAGGCGCTTTCCTTTACGCTAGGAAGCGAGACCGCGATACGATGCAGCTGGCGGATTAATCGCAGATAGATCCAAAGATTCGGAGCCGCCAGAAACTGAATTCCGAGTAGATGAATAGGAAGGGATAGGCAGAAATCGTCAGCGACAAGGGGATGAGAATATGGAACGCAATGCGATTGTTTATTCCAGTGGCAGCAGCAGCAGCAGTCGAAAAACCGACGGCGAAGGTGAACGGGGCAACCCGATCGTGCCGCGCGGACGCTAAAGTAGAGGCGCAGGCAGGCAGAACGGTGGGAGGGGAAACCAGCGACGCAATCGCCCCCGGGAATAATCTTCAACCGGCAAAAAGGAGTGAGGCACAAGAGCAGCTCAAGAAAGCTCACGAGTCCTGGGATATGAGGGAGGAATAATCAGGATAGAGTAGAAAAGAAGGAGACTTTGGATTGAAAGTGGGTGGGAGGGAGGGGTGGAAGCTCGTGAATGTGGCTGTCATAACAATAATAAAAATACACTTCATTCATGGAATTCATTTCATTCAGCGGCGGTAAGTTACCGTAAGGTTATCTTACCCGTCCGGGATTAGCCTGCCCGTGATCTCGGCCCAAAATAGAATTCCCAAAGCACATGGACTGGTGAAATGCACAAGCAAAAGCAAGATCAAGGTTGCTTACAATTGCGATGTTGGATGTCACCGAAGATGTTGTTACAGGATTGTGTCTTGCTCGTATCCATTCCCAATTTTGAATACTACCTAGTTTTGTTGCCCAATCGAAGACCCTGCACCAAGGCTGACGTATCCTCATTTTTGACCAACACAGCCCAGTTGAAGTGATGATGGCCACTTGTTCAGCGATAATTAAGGGTACACTGGTATCAACGATCATGAAGATCAAGCACTGCAATGATTATTGCGTAAGTGGTTAAGCGGACCCTCGGCAGCTGGCTGTGCCTCTGCACACATATGATGTGTCAACATGTCAGGTGCTCGTCGACAATAATCAAGTCTGCCCGTTGCTCATCATAGCGGTAATTTCCGGTCGAGGGTCCGATCTTATGCTCTAGCTTGCTGACAAGGTACTCCGTAGTGAAGCTGGCTTGGGAGCTTTAAAGCCGATCAAAGGTGGTACATGATTGTGAAACCATGGCCCAGTTATCAAGATGTTATCCTTCAGCTCTGTATATTAACCCTAGTCGCTAGCCGTTTCATGATAGCGCCAAGTAGCTTGTTCTCATGGAAACAGGGGTTGCTATTCATGGAGACACGGCCGCCACGCATCCACGCTTGGCCGACTCCACCGTCGAAGATCAATCTACAATTTTTATTGTTTCAAGCCTCCGCGACATCACGCTTGAATCTGAATGTCTCAACTCAAATTGGTCCATTACCTCGGTCGTCTCGAAAGCGGCCGATCTGCACATAGCTAATATACTCAAAAGACGCCACTCGATGCTCCCTATACAACAGCATCGTCTCATGTGCTGTGATCCGTCATAACTTCGTTCGCTAACTTGGAAAAGGGGAAAGGAGAGGAGTACAAAAATAGGAGAGTAAGTGGATGAAAATACACAGGAAAATAATCTGGAAACAAAGGAGAGTCGTTAAATCGCCAAGGAGGCGAGCACATTATGTCGACTTGCCATTGGTCGCGTTCATGATCATTTCGATCTCTTTCAGGGGCTGGTAGATATGCGTATGCCACCACCACGGCAATGGGTCAATGGCGGAGAACCGCCAGTTCTTCCAGAACAGGAGCAGTCTGCTGCCTTCGTGCAGGCTGCGATCGATCTGCTCGATGGCAGGGTAAAGTGCCGGAAGCACCCTCCGAACATCGCAACTGCGGACCACCTGGCAGAGACTGAAATTCTCAGGAGGCGGGGTAGAGATTTCCGTGTCGATGGATGCGATGTCTATAGCGGGCACTTCGCCAGAAACGCCGTTGATGTGTGGCGCGAGCACATCCAGGTACTCCGCGACCAGTGAATCGTGCTTATCTTCCAGAAGAAACTTCACAGCCGCGGCGCCTTGCTCGCAGCCCTCGATGTGAATCGCATAGCGGAGAATATTGTCGGTAAACTCCTCGTCCACCGTCAGTTGGAGGCGTAGGTGACCGGTCAGTCGGGGTCCACCTTGGAGTGCGAAGCGTTCCATGAGCGCATGCGTCGCCCTCGCGAGCCCCTTGTCCAGACGCGAGTGTCCCCAATCGGACTCCTTGTCGCCAGGATAAATCTTGATCGCCTTGACATGGCCGCAGATGACCATGACCTCTGCAACAAACCGGCCCAGTCGCGTCTGTTGTTGTAGTATCCATGGCCGTTCTTTAGAGATCTGGATCTCACTAACCTCGGAATAAGTCAGACTGAGAGTTCGCTTCGGCAGCAAGACGACCTTATCGTCGCCGGGAGTGGGAGAGTGCCTCCGCATCTGATAAATCTTGGACGGCGACCGATGCAAAATCTTGTGGATGGCATCTCGTGACAGAACCTGGTGTTTTTCCACCACGGGGAGCCGCTTCTCAACGAGATACTGGTTGAAATTTTCTTGGTTGCCGAAGATTTCGGCCAGGCCGGTGTCCAGGGTGATGCATTTGCAATGGGTCCGGCTCTCGATCACCTGTTTGGCCGACGCATCGTCGAGGGCCGAGGCCTCGTTCGCGCACGGGATCCAGATCTCCACTTTCTCTTTCTGGATGATGTCGAGTAGCCGTGCACTGTACTTGGTCTTGGGAACGTGGTAGAAGGCCGCCAGCGTCTTGGACATGCCTTCGCCAGGGGCGATGACGCTCTCGGTGACGTTGGCCCCGACCACTCGGTGGCCCGCGTAGTACCAACCCCGGGCCACAGCTAGCCCATGCGGGGTATTGACCCCAGTAACGAGGACTGTTTTCGGACGGAAGTGCTCATCTCGTAGGATTTTCTGGCGTCGGCGTTCGTGGCTGGAGGATTGTGAAATGTCGCCGGGGACATACCCGGCAGCGTAGGAGGCCAAAAGAATGGTGTTGTCCAACGGCAGGAGGGCGATCGAGACCGCAATCCGCACCAGATGGAAAATTACATGGATCTGCAGCATGTCGCGGGCGAATTGAAGAGTGCTTTCTTGAGGAATCGAGCTAAATGCTCGTCGTACTGTATGTATAGCCATCATAATGTCAGATGATGATTTGCAGTGGACATTGTTGCACAGAATCAATGCCGGGCAATGATTATTTATTGTCTCATGGCAGGAGGGGGGTGCGGGCAGCACAACCAGCAGCTTGGGAATGCTGCTGCAAGGCGACCACGTCAGCGATGCAGCTCAGTGGGTGATGCGTACCTGAAGATGGAAATCAACTGCTGCGTTGTTTGAGTTGGGTGAGGTGGCTGGGCCGACAAGGAGAAAGAGCATCGTCGATTGCGACCACACGTCGAACTGAAAGACATATAAGACCTCCCACAAGATCATAACCGTATGATTTTCGTCGGCAAACCGGATGATGACCCCTCATTCTGACGGTGGCCGAGGGGCTGGACTTCAACTTTGCTTTTGACAAGGATTACGGCTATCGCACGAATCATGATCCTTCGGCGCGTTGCCCAGGCTGAAGGGCAGCGTAAAGCAGATTGATGTATCGTAAGTACCAGGATGGCGGATATTGGCAGATGAATTCGAGGCGACAGTCAAGGATCGCATAGATTGAGAGGAGGAGATAGACATGCGACAAGGCGTGGAGGTGAAATGTAACTGCCTTCATTTGAGACAACCATGCAGGCTGAAGCACCAGCCCGTGCAAAGTATAAGTTATGCGGCGGGAAGCAGAGTGAGGCCACCCTGCCTCATAAGCCGAAACATGGCCACCTGCAGCCAAATTCAAGGCAAAGGAATGTGCATGACCCATTCCTCAAGTCATTCGAATGTGAGAGTCTAGAACCTTTATTTTCTCGCGCATAGTGAGGTCTTTGTGCTAGTGCCAGTAGTGATACTCGATCGATAGTTCGTCTCGGTTATCCGATCACTTCAGGGTGGAGCAACGCAATCAACACTAGAAGCACCAACCTTAGAGGTGTAGGTGGCTGCTACTTCAGGCACAGTACGAAAAGTACAGTACAGCCTGACACAGCACCACTGCAGCTTTGATACTCCGTGCTAGGCGCTTCGATGCAAGCACTCACCGCTTTCGCCTTGTCTACGTTTTATCCTACCCCGACGGCAAGCTTCTGGGGGAAAAGCACACCCAAGCCAAATAAATCAAACAACATTGATCCCTCTCGTGTTGAAAACTTCCCGACTATCAGTGAGCACTGAGTCACAATGAGGAAATGCATTTCCGACTTGCTTATCAATCTCTCACGCTGCCTCGGATTATCCGGGATCCGCGAGCCATGGGGGGCACCGATGGAGTAAGCATCTCCGAGTGAGCGGCACTTGGGACAGCATCATAGTGGGGGGACTTTCGCCCCTAGTGAGTCGCCCATGTTGTCATATCCTCCTTAAAAGGCTCATTCTTGAGGTTTACGTGGTCCTTATCGTCCCCCGAGCTTTCAGCTGGCTGTGACGTTGTCGGATTTATCTTCTGCCACACAAAATGTCGAGTATAAGACCGAGGATAAGACCGAGCCTAATCCCGAATGCGATAAGGCGCGGGGGTTCTCGTGCCATTAAATTCGCTGGATACCCTCGCTTTGGATCTCCAAGCTTGCAGCCTAATCTTGCTACTATCGCAAAATATCCATTGATTAGATTTCTGTCAACCTCGCGACATCCATCACTGACCATGAGCGACAACACCTACGTAGCGCCGCTTCATCCTCGTCCCGGGGACCGATCAGTAAGTCCGCTGTCCAAGGCTTTGAGGCCCTTTGAGATGTCGTGTGAACTGACTCCGAACGTCAATGTAGCGCGAGGATGGTCGGGAGTTCAAGTTGCTGCACTTCATCTACGATCAGCCCAACCGAGACGAGATCCAGGGCAATCCCCAGAAAGTCCTAGATCTTATCGACGAGTTCGCGCAGACATATCACTTCATGAACATCGGCCCGGACAAGGGCAAGTTTATCACAGAAATTATCGCCGAGCGCAAGCCTGAGGTCATGATTGAGCTCGGTGGCTATGTCGGGTACTCTGCCATCCTATTCGGCGATGCCGTGCGCCGGGCCGGTGGAAAGCGATACTATAGTCTCGAACTGAACCCAGAGTATGCCGCCATTGCGAATATGCTACTGGATCTTGCTGGTCTGCGCGACTTTGTGCGCATCATAGTCGGTCGCAGTGATCTGTCCCTGCACAAGCTATTCGATAGCGGGGAGGTCAAGCAGGTGGAGGTTCTGTTCATTGACCACTACAAGCCTGCCTACACCACCGACTTGAAGCTTTGCGAGCAGCTGGGGAAGATCGTGCCCGAGGTCTCGGTCGTGATCGCGGACAACGTGCTGTACCCCGGCAATCCGCCATATTTGGAATATGTCCGCAGTACGGTGGAGCAGAAGCGCGAAGCGGCCAAGAAGGGCCCTGAACGGACGTACAACAGAGAGGGCATTCCGGACAGGACCGTGCAGTCCTTCCTCGGCGCAGATGCGACTCCTCAATTCGACATAATCGGCAACCCGAACCTCATCTACGAGAGCAAACTCGTGAAGCCGGAAACCACCAGGGTAAGTCGGAGTCTGTGACGCAATGAAACGGGAGATGAGTTTTCTGACGCAACTTGTGTGCTTTAGGACGCCATTGAGGTCACCCGATGTGTGGGGGTACAAGAGTAGTAGAAGGGAGGGGTGTTTTTTCCGGGGAATCTGTGTATACTGGTTGAGAGAAGGAAGGGAAAGAGGCTGCTAAGCTGGATGGCTCACTAGCCTTAACCAATTTTGGTGCAAGGGTCTTCGGACCTACCATTACTCGACCTTTTCATGAATGAGGCCGAAGTCTAGAGTCACGGTCGGCCGCTGACCCTTTTTTACCAGCTAGTGGATTAAATACCAAACAAAGGCTTTCTTGTGAACAGTTCGAGGATAGTACAGTAACTTACTCCGGAGTACAACTCGGGGCATCCGAAGTTTCTCCACCTTTCCGTTTACTGTCGGTTCCGGCGGAATCTACTAGATAGCTTACATAGCCCACCATTGACTTAGGGCCTAAAGTTGTTCCATATCGCGGCACAACAAACAGAACCACAGACATACCAACATGGCTGCCTTTAGATCGAATTGAAGGAAGATGATGGAATACTCTATGGATTAGGTATGTTCACTAGTTAGCCTGACAGGGCAACTGTGGCAGGCGATTAGATAGAGCCAGTTCTGTTCAGGAACAGTGCATCAATCAATCAAGTGCAGGCTGAAAAGACCCGGCCGTGGTTTTCCGCTGTAAAGTGTGCAGTCCTACTCCGTACAGGCAGGTGAGACACGGTCCGGACTGAGCCGATGGTGTCATGATCGGCAACAGCACTGAAATGAATTCCGAGTGTCTTGCTGCTGCTGCATCGGCCTTTGCCGCATTGCCCCGCCCGGCCCAGTGGTCGCCGTCGCCAGGACCTTCCCCCGCACTAGTTGATGACTGAGTCCAATTTCTTCCCTTCCTCCCCCCCACGCTGGAGATTGTGTAATCACTGTTCAGAACTTCAAAGGCATAGTCGAAGTGGGCCTTGTTTACGTCGTATATAACTGAGCAACCCCCCTCGGAAATCTTTTATCTCTAGCCCCTTCAATTGTGCCCCTCATTTCTCTGCTCCTCGTCTCCTACAAAACCATCACCCCCACGATCCCCATCCCCCACCATGTCTTCGAAAACCTGGAACGTCGGAATTGTGGGATACGGCCTGAGCGCCAAAGTCTTCCACATTCCTTTCATCAAGGAAGTCCCTCAATTCAAGATCTCTGCTATTGTGCAGCGCAATCCCAAGCCGGAGGACGATGCGGAGAAGGACTTCCCCGGCATCAAGTCTTACCGTAGCACCGAAGAGCTAGTCAAGGATGAGGGTGTCGACCTGGTTGTCATCACTACCGTTCCCGAAACGCATTTCGAGTTGACCAAGCTGGCCCTCGAGCACGGAAAGCACGGTAGGTCTTTTTTTTTTTTTTTGCAGGTGCATAAGAAACTGTACTGATGCTAATTGTTGCTGCAGTCGTCGTCGAGAAGCCTTTTACCCCCACTTCCAAGGAAGCTCAAGAACTCGTTGCCCTGGCCAAGAAGCAGAACAAGCACCTGGCCGTATACCAGAGTCAGTATTCCTAAGTCACCTCCTACCTATAATTTGAATTTTGTGAGGTTTGGTTTTGCTGATGGGTGTGTGTGTGATTAGACCGTCGCTACGACGCCGATTTCCAGACTGTGTCCAAGTTGGTCAAGAGCGGCTCCCTGGGCCGCGTCGTTGAATTCGAGACTCACTTCGATCGCCACCGCCCCGAAGAGCCTTCTGCAGATGCTTCGAAGTGGAAGAACAAGGTTGTCCCCGGAGGTAGCGCCATCTACGACCTGGGATCTCACCTCCTGGATCAGGCTGTCCACCTGCTCGGCAAGCCTGAGCGCGTGACGGGCTTCCTCGGCTCCCAGCGCGAGGTGAACTCCTCCGGTTACGAGGACTCCTTCACCGTCCTGCTTCACTACAAGAACGGCCCCCTGGTCACGGCCAAGGCTGCAGTTGTCAGTCCCGAAGTCGAGCAGTTGCGCTTCTGGGTCCGCGGAGACAAGGGTAGCTACAGGAAGGTCCGTTTCCTCCGATCTGACTCCGCGAAATATGGGGAGCTGCGTTTGGCTGACTTCAGACGATTAGTTCCATCTCGATATCCAGGAAGAGCACATCAAGGCCGGATTGAGCGCCGGTGACAACGGATACGGCCGCGAGCCCAGTGACAGATATGGTACGTCGACGATGCACACTGACATACCTTTTCAACACCGTTCTAACATATGTCCGCGATCAGGCACTCTCACCACTATTCAGGACGGAAAGCCTACCAGAGAGGTCTTCCCTACCGTCGAGCCCCCGACCTGGACCGAGTACTATAGAAAGTTGGCGCGAGCTCTTGCCGGCGAGTCCGATCTCCCGGCTAGTGGAGCTGAAGCCAGCGAGGTTATCCGCTTGATCGAGTTGGCCCAGGAGAGCTCCAAGCTTGGCAAGACGCTGGACTTCTAGGTGGTGGAGAGTGTGTTTGTGTATATGAGTACTTAAAGATTATGATATAATGACAGGATGAGAATTGAATTTCACAGGGGATGCTCAGTACTCTCAAGTACTGTACTTGTATGTACATGCACCTTGAATAGCACGAGTATGAATAACTCACTAGTGGTGGGGTGTGAACAGAGCGCGTTACACTATCCAAGGCACGAACCCCCTCTTACGGTTCCACTACGGTAGTCTAGACCCCTGTCAGCATGATGGCTGTATTGAGCGTGTCATGAGGAATTTCTTCGATCTTGTTCCTCTACCCCGGATTGATCGACAGCCCTGCTTTTGCGGGAAGGGCGGCGGATGGGCAATACGGGCGACTCGGCTGGATGATGGGGGAAATACGGTAAATAATGGTAAAGAATGGTAATCTGTGGTAAGAAACCCACCGGCTGACCTCATCTCCCACCGTCCCCGACGCTAAACCCTACCCGGAGTTTCCATTACCCAACTCAAATGCTGTGAGTGGAAGGACAGACCAGGAACCTTGAACTTCCAAACTCCATTCAGTTCAGTCACTTGGGTCAGTTCCAGTTGGCACTGCAATTCCGCCTCCATGACTGCTCTGCTACCATAGCCGAATACCTCTCCTCCGCGGAGATGCTGATGGCCAGCCCAAGATGCGTGCGAAAGATCTTCTTGTTCTTGCGTGTTCTCCCTTCTCCCCCGTCTCTTCCAGCTCTGATGCCTACTATTAATATGGGCTCAGCATTCCCTCCACAGACCCAGCGACTCCAAATTGCGGTGTCCACTTGATGCACGGCGGTTTCAATGGGCTCGCCCGCTTATACTTAGTTGCTGCTCACCACGTAGGCCAGGCAAGTATTCCCACCCTTCCCCCTTGTACCCCCTGGTTTGGACCCATCAGGCCAGCTTCTCAGCAGGATGGAGTATCTGCCTGTCTGTCATCTCTTTTTTCTGTGTCAGTGGGCAAGTTGCTCTCCATCCGCAGTCTCATGACTGAGCTGGCATACACAAGCATCCGCCTTTCCGGGTTCGTTCTTCAGGTTCATATCCACTTGCAACACTCCTTTTCATAACAACACTTGTTCTACTGGACCTGGTACTAACCGACCACAGGAATAAGCGCGTTTGTCTTGGCCAGGGGTGGTCATCATGACAGTCCAGCAGACGTTGGCCCAGCCCTCCCGGCCTCCGTCCAAGCTTGAATCCATCGACTTCTCCCGTCTCCATGTGGATATCGATGCCTATATAAATCCCGTTCTTCCGCCCCCGCCTTGGCGATACCTGCCTCGGCCGGTCTCGCGCTTCTTTGGTTACCGAGAGACCCCGTCTCCCAAGCCACTCGGCAATGTGGTTGTGGCCTTCTGGACCTTGATAGGGGTGTTCTGCGGTGTGTTGATCGTAGCGGAGGCTTCGATGCATGTGCCCCTTTTTGAGCACCATAATGCCCCGATCATCGTGGCGAGTTTCGTACGTCTTCTCTCCGGTCTACACCGGTGACCGAAGCTTCAAGACTAACCATCCCTTAGGGTGCTGCTGCGGTGCTAGAGTTCTCGGCCATCGAATCGCCCTTTGCCCAGCCACGAAATGCGGTAATCAGCCAGGTCATTGCGAGCACGGTGGGGATTGGGATATCCAAGCTTTTCGCCCTGAATGCCCATGCCGAATCGTTACCCCAAATCGGTGGCGCCCTGGCCTGTGCCATCACCACGTGTATCATGGTCCTCACGAACACCGTGCACCCGCCCGCGGGTGCAACCGCATTGCTTTCAGTGACGCAGTCGGCCGATGTGGGCTGGGCGTTGATTCTCGTTATGTTCCTCGGAAGCGTGCTGATGCAGGCCGTGGCCTTGTTGATCAACAACATCCAGCGCCGGTTCCCGATTTACTGGTGGACTCCGGTCTCTCTGGCGCGCCCGAGATCGAGTGACACCGAAAGCGGGGATCGGATCAACCGAGCCAGCTTTGAGACGGACGGCACGCAAGATGTCTTCCCCGGTGAACCGAGGCAGGTCCTCATTGAGTCGGGCAAGATCCTCTTGCCAAATCAATTCTCGATTTCGGAAGCGGAGATGAAGGTCCTGCGGAGTATCAGTGAACGGTTACCATGAAGTGCATCTACTAGCATTAGAAATAGGTGGCTTAGCGTAGAGACATTCCGCTGTCTGTATGTACTGTATATAGTGACGTTCATATATTTGTCTAAGTACTGAGTTGGAAGTAAGCTGCTTATCGTGATCGAGGATCTGTCCAACAAGAATGCTCTGATTACCAAGCTAAGTACAAGAGGATACCTAGTACTCATAGTGGCAATGTGGTTGCGAAAATAGGATGACATTCAGACGGAGGTGTGATTCTGCTGAACTTGCTTTAATGATATTGAAGGAGTAGGGCGCTGCCGTGCCTGGGGCCGGATGCTCTTCCTTCCTAATCAAGGTAGCACACTGATCCGATTTCGGCCTCAGGTGTCAGAGGCGGTTGCTGACCATTGCCAGCAAATGCCTTGGGCATAAGGCTCTATAGCACGTGACTATTAATGCCCAATCAGGCAAGGCCGCGCCACGCACCCGTGCGGTGACGTCGACAGGCCAATGACAGCGCCGCTGGGCAGAAACCCACTGAAGGAATTTTCGAGGCAACTCAAATTGAGGTCGCAGTTTCGTCTTTCATCCTCTGCCCAGTGCATCCTTCATCCTCGTCTTATTGTTCTTCGGTCGATTGTTCCTACTGTTCCTACTTCTGACTCAGAGGATAGGCTCCTTCAATCTCGTATATACTACCCATTCGATCTCTATTTACTCTCTGTATTTTCTGTGTTTTGAGGCAATAGTAATAAGCATTGCCTGTGCTTCATAGTTGAAACTCTTACTATCGATAAGGGCTATCCAAGGAACCTCCCACTCCCACTCCCACTC